TTCTGTTTGAAGGATAACATGAAGCAACATGACAAAGTGAACAGAGAGCGGGCGTGGGCTTCAGGCCCTGGCTTGGCCACAAGTTGGCTTTGTCAGTAAACCTCTCAGTGCTCAAGGTAGCTGTGCAAGACTAAGTCGAAGAGAAGTACTGACCTGCATTGGTAAAGGGAATTTTCTCATCTGGGAGTATCATATCCTAATGAAGCACAGATCAGACCTCCCTACAAAGAGGATTAGCTAATAACCATAACTACTTTTACATTAAAATGTTGACGTCTTTCAAAGAAAACATTGTGGGAGGCCATATGCTGCTTCTGATAATGTTGTTACTACTCAAAACATTGTAGAAATTTCTCTTTTAAAATAGCCTTCAGCATTAACACTCCTAATGGTATAAAATCTTCATTCATCCAGTAGAGGATATCATTTTAGAAACAGCAGAAAATCATTAAAAACCAAATCTAGTGAATAAAGTTGGATAATAACATTCTTGGTCAGATACAAGCTGAGGACAAAAGTAATGAAAACAGTGTTGTTGTTTGTGAACATGTATGTATTTCAGTGATCAGTTTCCAGGTTAGTAGGTCAGTTTTTAAAATATCTACTGGTAAGCAGTATTTTCAGCCAAAGCTAATTTATAAAAAAATTTTCAGCAAGTAGATTAGAATGTTTCTTTCATTTTGGGTAAACCAATTTACACATTAAGTAAACCTGTTTACAAAGATCATTGACTGGAGTGGTTTTAGTAGATAAATAACTGAAGGTCACATGTAGTTGAACAGTACTGTTATAATGCAGATGTTTGTCTTAAGTTTTCATTTAAAAAAACTTTCTTGTGATAGTATTTTTGACAGGTAGTGATCGGATTCCTATTCTTGGTATGAAGAGTCTTAAACTGGTCATTCAGTCAACTGGAGGTGGAGAGGCATATCTCCCAGTCTCCCATACCTGTTTTAATCTTCTTGATCTTCCAAAATACACAGAGAAAGAAACTCTCCGATCTAAACTGATCCAAGCCATTGATCACAATGAAGGCTTCAGTTTAATATAACTTTAGAGGTATTATAACTATTTGGTTTAATGCAATAGCATTAAACTAATTTTTTGTGTCTTTCTTGTGGTGGTGAGTTCAGTGGACAAGGTGACCGAGGTGATAATATAATTAATTGCTTATTTACAAAATGTTCTGTGACATACAAATATTCACGAAAGCCAAAAAGTCCTAAAAGAAAATGAACAAACTATGTTAATACTAGACTTATTGTACAGAACCATGGACATTTTTTTTTGTCATCTACCAATAAACATGCAAGTATTGTGAGTACATTGAAGTTTCACTAACATGAATTTTAATGGTCTGCATATTACAGAAATGATCTTGGTGTGTGAGTGCATGGAATGGTTGCTTAATTCTTTTCAATCACTGGGTAAAAAACCTTTAACTTTGGTTTGCAATAGTCACTTGATTATTTTTCATTTTGTAAATAATGTTAAAGTTTTTGTAATAAAATAGTTACCTTCTGATACCAGTGCAGTTTCTATGTTGTAATTGAACTGGAATGACTTTTATGGTTTAAAAATTGTGACCATTAATTTTTTTTCCTGGTTTCTTAGAAACTCAAATAGCAGAAATCACAAGAGTAAAAATTTAGAGCTTGTTTTGTGCCAGGACAGTTTTCTAGTATCTTGGTATGTGCCCAGATCTGAGTTCTACTAAGTATCTTCCAGGTCCTTCCTCTGGAGTCCTGTAGTGATGGTGCATTTTCAGTGGGGAGTGATGATTAAACATGGTTAATTTAGCAGTGGAAGAGAGCTTTCCCATGGTTGTCAAGAATAGGAATGTGTGGCACTAGGAGACCCAGCACCCGCAGCTCACAGCTTTGAAAAATAATAACTGTGAAGGTTCGATTTGAGTCACATTTTCCACAGTGCTTTTTGGCTGATGTAGAAGAATTTTCTTCGGGGTTTTTTAAATTGAAGAAAACAGTTTTCAGATGCTGATTGTGAACTGAAACACTTTCAGATTTTATTCTTCTCATGTCTTAGAATGTGTGTTGATATGCAATACATGTGACTTTCAGCTATGGTGCAGATATTTATTTTTTAAATTTATAAAATGCAATGAAAACTCTTTAAAATACTTGAATAAAGATTTATTGGTTTATAATTAAACTTTCAGTGGTTATCATGTAAGATCCTACACTCTTCAAGACAATTTCTAAGAAGGTTTTAGGTCAGGACTCTTAAATTTGTGTTTTCTTCTCTTTTTCTCAGGGGTATGAACTTTAAAATTTCAGTGCACCAACCTAAAGAATGTAGAAAAAACTCATTCCCTTTGGAAATAAGGAAATGTCCTGAAATGCCAACTTCTCTTAGGTTTCCTCCATATTCTTTCTGTGATGTTGGCTTACAGAGTATAGATGTGACCATTCAAATAAATGACATCTTCCTCTCTCTTTGGAAGAGTCCTTTACACTCATAGCTTTAACCTGATGCTTTAAGGCCATGATATTTTAATACTTTGAGTACATTATCCCAGAGTTTCTCCTCGTCTTCCCTCAGTGAACCTGTTCTTTCTTCCCATCGTCTCCATTTCTGTTGATTGCACTACCATCTTCCCAGGCACCTCGTATGAACATCTTGGAACCCTTTTTGATTTCCCTCTCTCCTTCACATTACTATACCTACCTACATGGGTAGCTATGTGACCATATGTGTGCCCGCGTGCACACACCCCTTTGAGCAGATGCTAAATTGTATCAGTTTTATCCATTTTTTTCATCCATTCACATTTTTATCAGTCTAGTTTGGATTCACTTGGATGATTGCAGGAATCTCTTGACTATGCCTTTCCTGCATCTGCTCATTTTCTTTTTCAGTCCACCCTTCATAATAGCTGCCAGATAATTTTCCTAATCACAGGTCATGCTGTATCACTGAGGGACCTTTAGTGCCTCCCTTTTGTCTTTAGAATAAAATACAAATTCCTCCTCGCTTAGCATTGAAGTCCACCATAATCTGTCTCCATCACACCTTGTTTCACATTAGTCTTCTTCAACAATCTGAGTCAAATAGAAGGACTCAGAATGTAAGAAACTGGACATGGCTTCACTTCTGGATTCACAGAATCTGTCTGCATTTCTGCCTTTCAGTACAATAGTAAACATGCATTAAAGCACCTGCATATTCCAGGCACCCGTACTAATAATTAGCACATTGATGTAGCATTTATTATGCCCAGGTCACTGTGGTAGGTGCCGAGGATACAAAAGCAAAAACCAAAACAACCACACAAAACCCTAGATACGAGACATTGTTAGGTAAGATGCCTAATTACTAGTTTATCAAGAAAGGCTACCCATAGTCTTGAAGGAAGCTAAGGCTTCTGAGTGGGAGCAGTAAAGAGGGAGGTGCATGACAAGCCTGAAGAGAATAGTATTTGCTAAAGGACAACACGATCACACCAAGGAAATGAAATTTTACCAAATTTCAGATAACCATTTTTACTGAAATTCGGAACCCATGAGGCATATAAATGTGAAATAAATGAATATCAAAATTCAGGCTGAAACTAGATTGTGAAGAGATCTAAATGCCCAGCTAAGGAGTAGGTATTTTATCTCAGTTGGAGTAAGATGTCACCAAAGATTCTTGAGGAGGGTGTCACGGTCAGATCTGTGCTCTAGGAATACTTTTGGTAGTAGCCCTGAGGAGGCGAACAATTTGGTGGAGTTAGAATTGACAAGGTTTAGTTAATTGTGGGGGGAGAGAACAAAGTTAAGGATGACTTGGAGGTGGTAAACCGAAATGCCTGGAAGGGTACTGGTGGTCCTTATCAAAGGAAAAGGGGAAAGATTGGTTTGGCTTTGGTTTCTTTTTTTTTTTCTTTTCTGTTTTTGCAAAGACGATAGGGGAGGAGAGGTAATGATTTCTATCTGGGACTTGAGTTTGAGATAAGTTGTTCCTAGAGTGCTCCCTCCTCCATGAAGCCTTCCCATGCCTCCTTCACTCCTCAGTCCCTGTCCCCCCACAATGTCCCACCAGCTTCACCTTGTCATTGCTCACTTTGTCTGTGTCTCTTCTTTGTCTCCCATCACATCTCATTTTGTATTTGTATAAGTATTTCTACACCCTCACCTTCAGCTTAGAGGAATACAAGCCTCTTCAGGGCAGGGACCGTCTTTTTTTTTTTTTTCCTCATCTGTCTATCCCCAGTGATTTGCATGTAGCAGACCACTGAATTGATTTCTATAAAGCAATAATAGATTTTGTGGTAGTGGATTGGTCAACGCTTAGTAACTGCTTTGAGATGCTAAGTACTCAGTGTTTACTGGGCAGTTATCTTACATGAGTGCAGCACTGTACTGGGACTTCAGTTCTAGAAAACTGGGGAAAATGAAGGAGGGAAAACAGCTAAGTGTTGGGCAACCAAGTCTGTTTCAGCAGGTATTACATAGAAGTAGGCACTGTTGGTGGAGTTTGAGTTTTATTTGTGGCCAATTCTCTTTTCTTTCTGATGCTTCAAATTAGTGGAGTTACTTTTTAAATTTTGAAATAGTAACAACATTGTCAGTAGAGACAAGGCATGACATGATGTCCAGCTAGACTGGATTCTTTGGTGACCCCAAGTGATATTTTGGAAGACACTATGTGAGTTGGCTTCCCTAGTGGTTTTCAATCCCTTCTGTTCCGTAGAATATAAAGCTCCAGATCTTTCTGGATGTGCTAGGGCAAATAGCCATTGTCTTTAATGGGGGGAGGGAGGGGTCTGGGAGGGGAAGAGGATTCATCTTGGACCGTGGTGTAGGCCAGTATTGAAAAGTGTCTGACCACAGTAAAATCTGGCCACAGTTCAGGGTTTCAGCTGTACAAATTCATGTAGCTGCTGGGGAGACAGTGAAGAAATACTTGGTTTTTCTCTCTAACTATAGTAGTTTAGTTTTTAGACAATCTTAAATTAATCAAATTCTTAAGACAATAAATGTAAAAAAGTCTTTAGATTAAATTAAAATATTTTAATATCAGAAGTGCAATTTCAAAAACTTTTAACAGTAGTTTATTATCAACAGATTTACACCAAAGACAGGAAAACCATCCTGCTCTCATTAGCACATATAAGGACCCACACTTACTGGCATTTTTCCAGTTCATGGCCAGCTTCTTTATATAGACTTAAGATACTTGTTATTTCCAACACTTTTACATAAATACTTATTTCATACTAAGTGAATGGAAGGAAGACAGTTTGCAAGTTCTGAATTAAAAGCATATTCCACTTATTGCCCCAGAAAAGCCCCTATGCCCAGTGGCCACCTCCTGACTCTCTGCTGACCTTCCAAATGGCTTATATACAAGTAATACTAGAGTTTAGGACCCAATTTTCTCCCATTTGTCTCCCCAATGAGATTGCCCCTTGATTCCAGGGATCATGGTATGGATGACCCATACCACCATTAGACAGTCTACGCAGATGCACAATCCTGGGCCCTACCTTCCCGCCGTCCCTTACCCATATCTTTCTCTTTCATCTCCCAACTTAAATACCTTCATGTTTCCCTTCTTTTTCCTTAGGCATTTAGTGCTCTTCTGTCCTCTAGCTGCCCATAGCCCTTCCAATTTTGGGTCCAGCTCAGAATATAATTTAGACAGGCTGAGCTCTATTGGTCAGCATTTGCTAGATGATAAATAGCAATGGAAACTATTAAAGTGTCAGTGATTGCTATTCCTGGTCTCTTTCCACTCTCCCAGGAGTAAGTCCCAATGAAGCCATCTGTAGGAGACAACCTTCAAGTGACACCCTTGGGTTTGTTCTTTTGGCAGGCCAGCTCAGAGCCTTGGAGAAGGGAGGAGTTGGTTACTGCCCAGCTTCCTCCTTCATCCATCAGATTCTCTGTCTAGGCCAGGGCTTCCTAGGGTTCTTTAAGTTTGAATCTAAAAAACCATCTGAGGGACCTTGAAGCAGCCCTGTTTCTGCCACCTACTCCTTGTTCTGTAAATGCTTGTAACACCTTAATGATGTCTCTTTGAGCTTATCTGATTAGCATGGTTTTCTGCTTTATTGATCACTTTTCAGTCATCAACTTTAAAAATTAAAAAAATAAGGGATCATTTGTGTCTTGGGAGTTGTGCGAATGAGTGTGTGTGTGTGTGTGTGTCTGTCCCACACTACTGGGTAAGACCTAAAGTAGAAGCTAAATAATTATTTTAAAAGAAATGCTTATTTATTAAATTAATTATATACTATATTTGTCTAATGTAGTCAGCATAAATTCAACATAAAGTGTACATCCAAAGTATATTTGACATTTCTTTCAGGTAAGTTATAATACCTTTTAATATAACAGTGCAAAGGTGAGCCAGTTCAGTCCCTAACAATGAACACAAATTAGTGTGCTGAGCTGGGCAGCGATCAAACTGGACTGTTTGGAAAACTGTGCGGTACTTCTAGTAACTCCAAATTGTTCTCTACTACAAAAGCCCATCTCTTTTAAAACCAGTATTTTCCCATCTTAGAAGAAGCTGGCATGGTGGGCATGAGCAGGTTGCAAGGGTATTTTGTTACCAAGAACAATAACTTTATAACACATCCAACAGACAATCTCTAGGAGAGAGATGGATCCTGAGAATGTGGGCATATTCTTTAGTGGTGTGTGGGGAAAAAAGGGCAAGCCTTATGGAGCTGGGATCTGCATTGGCAGGTGACCACTGAGTCTAGGCCTATTCCATACACCTTCAGATTTTACTCCATACACCATATTGCTTAGCTGGTTTCTTATGCTGAATGGCAGCCACAGTAATGCCCTCTCCCAAAGTAACTTTTCCGTGTCCTAAAGTTGTAGGCACTTCCACTGCCCCTATTCCATTGCACTATCTTCCCCTAGTATGTCAAACTCGGCTTCATTCATAGTTAAATTGAAGGTGCCATTAGAACAAATGGGATACTGGCATTAACACTCATTCCCTGAGACTGACACTTCTAGGCCAGTACAGGAGAGATGTGGCAGCCCTGGGGAGGAATCTTAGGAAACCGGGGTTCTAGTCCTGCCTCTTCCATTAATCAAAATCAGACATCCATTTAATCCCTGAGGGGGCCTAAGTTTCTTTACCTAATAGAAGTTCTTGCTGTAATGGTCCAGAACAGTTTAGGAATACCAAGGTGTTTGCTGTTTAAAGTAAGCTATTTACTCAAGGAGAGGTGGGAACACCCCTCAGTTTCATCAATTAATTAGTATACTTGGAAAAATGCAAGTGTTTTAACAGAAAGAAAAAAGTCAAATGACAATTTTTAATAGACTTTAACAGGATGTACAAGTATAAAACACTGGTTTTGTATTTCAAAAGTTGCAGGGGGCCAGTCATTTTAAACAGTCTACAAAACATATGTCAGTAGATTACATAAAAGACACTATATATATATATATACAATATAAAAAGAGCTGAAAACAATCCTCACTGTAAAAATAATTTAAAACAAATCTTTCCATTTAAAATATCATCTATAGCACAAACACATTGTATCATGCAAATGAAAACTAAACATACTGCATTCTTTAATGGAACCAAATGCAAATGAGGTCTGAAAACTTTTAGAATTTAGACTTCAAGACAACATGCCAACATCTTTTTAGTTTAACAAATGTCCATTCTTAAAACACAAATTTCAGTTTCCCTGGCAGTTATGGTTCTAATTGGTGTCTTACACTTAAAGAACAGCTACAATTTCAAAACCCTTACTAAACACTGTAATAAATATTAAAGCAAAGTATGAATAATCTGTAGTTTTTGGGTCATGTTGAGAAAGTGGTTTGGAAAATAAATGCTTTATTGTGCAATTTTATAAAATATGAACTTCAGAAAGCTGGAAGATCTGTAGCTGAGGAACTGAAATGTAGTTTTAAGGCAGGCTACATGACATTTAAACAAAGCTACATTATAGGAACTAGTTCCATTCATTGACTACACTGCTAGGGACCCTCTGCACCATGGCAAGCTCTCCGTCATATTAGATTAGAAATTGGCATTTCTGTGATACCAAATCCTCAAAAATAGGAGCTGTGCATGACCTCCAAGAGGCATACTTTCTGGCAGACTATACTGAATGTTGCATTACTTTGGAATTATAATCAGCTTCCTGTCACTTTCCTGTGGTATTTGGGGAAGGGAAAACAGCAGTCCAAAAATATATATATATGTGTATATGGATATATGTGTGTGTGTGTGTGTGTGTTTATCTATGTAGATATAGATATAGATGAGAGAGAATACTCTCCCCTGTTAGAAGTACCATTATTACAGATTCAGACAAGCTTTGCATATTCACATCTTGGCAGTTTAATGTTTATGGAAAGGACCAATGCAAGCTGTACCACAGTGATAGGTATTTACACAATAATGGTAAGATATCTTCTAAACCGAGGGGATCCAGCTAGGCACCTCATACTGAAACATTTCCAAAGCATTTTTAACGAAGTTTTTTTTTTCTTCCCACGTTAGCTTTATGAGCCAATACAGACAATGCTAACCCATCCACAGGAAATTTGAAAAAGCCTTCTTTGTATTCCTTATCATCTCTTCAGCCCCATGTCTTATGAAAGCAAAGACTTTCTGTGCTTTCCCAGGTTATCATCAGCTTCAATCTACAAAGATTATATGTTTTTGAGACCAAAAATTAAAGTTAGCTGCCACTAAAGTCTTTGAAAATGCCAGTGTTTTTTAAAAGGGGTGGGGGTGGGGGGCTATTTTGTTGAATAAAAATTTAGCAGAACAGAAGCATGAAGGTGTGAAACAACCATTCAAAATGTTACAAAGGAAAAAAATTGTGAAAAATACCAGTCTTTGGTCTAGATTAGCTGTTCCCTTTATATTAATTTAACATCCAATGGCTTTTGGAAAACTTTAAAATGCTGAAATTCACTAGGTACCCCCCCATACCCCCCCCCCAAAAAAACTATATATACATACAGATGCATTATCACACAAAATGGATCTTGGAAAAAAGTGAACATAGTGACTAATAGCTAACTAAAGATACTTAGTACCTTACCTTTCTTTTAAAAAAGTTAGTGTTGAGTGTATAATTATAGAATTACTGAAAAAGTAAAAATTATACATGAAAATCTGGTTTAACTGTCTATAAACACCACACCCTTATAGTTTTCCTTGCTCTCTTAAGTTCAGAAGGAAACTTTCATTCTGACATGCCAAAGTTCCTAATGCTGGTGGAAAAGTTCCTGTAAGCAGGCAAAGATGACATTATAATCTGTCCGATGACTGGTCAACTTCAGCGGCCTCCTCCTTGACAGACATAGCTTCGTTAACTGCACACTGCTCATCTCGGTCACACCCAAAGCCAGGTCTGCCTCTCTCGGGAACCTCAGCATCCTCCTCCAAGCCATTATAGAATTCTTCCATCTCACTCTCATCCTCCATAGGTTCTTCTAGGCTTGGGCTGTGGCAGGTTCCACTGTCACTATTACTGCCACAAGAACTGGAGGACAGCACATCATCTTCAGAGTCTGAGTAGACCTCAGCGCCATGAAAAATATATCGATTTGGTGGTAAAAAGAGGTACTGGTTACCTTAAAATCAGATTGTGAGACAAAAAGGAGAGCGATTTATTTTCTGCTCACAAAAGAAGCTCATATATCACTTGTTTCTGGTTATGCAGACACAAATTTATTCCACTATAAAATAACGACCAACTTGTAAGGGAAAAACAGCTCATCACCTCTTCTAGCAGCCTAGAAAAGTATGGATGTGACTTAAATTTCAGGGGGACCCCTTCTCAGATCTCTCATTTTAAAAGTCAGAGGCTTCTCTCTAGAAAGAAGGTTCATGATTCCTCTTTTTAAAAAAAGCAGTTAACATCTCTATCCTCTCTTTAGCTTTGCTTCCTTACTCAGCATGTTCAGTGCCAAATAAGAGATTTGTATCTTCTGAGTTTTCACTAATGAAGTCAACAGGAATGTTTGCCTCAACTAATGAACAATCCTAGTATGGAGAGCCATTTCTGTCCCACTGAAACATGTTTCTGTCTGAGAAACAGCCCAAGTTTAAGGGACACAACAGATGGACATCTTTACAAAAACATGTTCTTGCAGTCTCACAAATTTGAAATAGGAAGTTACAAGTAAAGGAGAAGGGGAAGGAAATCAGCATTTATTGTGTTAGGTGCTTTACAAATACCTCACACTCTGTCTCATTAGGCCCTCTTCAACTTAAAAACAAGTCAATATTCAAAACCTTCCCCAAAGGATCAAAGAAGTCAGATGTACTGGGCTCCGGGCCAGTCTGTGAATAACAGTATGAACCTAACTGCTGCGCACATCAGTATTTCACAGGTAACCTTTTAAAGTTGTATACTTTTTGTATACATAAAGTTGTATACATAGTGATAGAGTACACCGATGGGAAAGCAGGGGTGAGACTCCTCGGGTTTGAGGCTGGAACAAGCCTTTTTCCTGCTCTTAGAATCCCAAAGGACGTGTGTTTCAGTCCCCAGAAAATTCCCCAGGCACCACCTTTTGTTCTGAAGGCCCACCTCCCTTTCTACTGCCCTTCATTCCTTGTAGTTTTAACTGCTTCCCTTCTGTCTGATCCCTAAAAGAAATTAAAACCCTTGGGAAACTTGAAAAGGTTTTTATCTTTAACATATTGGGGGACAGAAGTGGGTAAAAAAATTTTCTCACATCCCCTAATCTCTTCCATTCAACTGAGGTCGCAAAGAAAGGGCCTATCTGAGTGCCCAAAGGTGTATAATTCTGTGCTTCAGAGGAAGCCCTAAACCAGTGGGTTATTTCCTTGCAGGAGTCAAAACGTTGTGCGTAAGGGGGAAATGACATCATAAAAGAGTGCTGGAACATTACCTCCCCTCCCCGACCCCCGCCCCCCTGCCAAAAATCAGGTAACCAAATGGAGGCTGGGAAGAAGACAATCAAAGCAGCAGAGAAAACCCCAAGCAGAGTAGTTCCAGGCACCTGCCCAGCGGCTGCACAGGAGAGGCCCCTGAGCAGGGGGTTTCCTGCTGCACAGGAGGCTGCAAGGTTCCTCCCAGCCAGGGGACTAAGTAGTGAACAATGCTGCAATGCTTCCAGAATCCACGATTTTGTCCAGCTGGGCCCTCCTCCCCCCAAAGCAGTCTGCAGCCCATCCCCTTTTTGCTTTAGACTAACTGTATGAGCTTCTGTGGCCCAAAAACAAAAACAAAAAACACCTAACCAGCTTGGTTGGTAACAGGTCAAAATACCCAGGGACCAAGGGAAGGAAAAGACTTTTGTGCTTCATTTCTCTTGTGAGCACAGCTTCACACCTATCGGGAGCACAGAACTATTTGGAAAACTAGAAATAAGAATTACTAGGAGCAGGCTGGGATCACATCAGTGCTGGATAAAGAGCTCTTAGTGGTTATCTAGTCACCTCCCTGAAATGTTTGTAGGCACCGGCCAGTTTTCTGGGGACCAGGGAAAAGAAACAAAGGAAAGGGAGGCTATTGCTTTTCAAACATTATCATCAGGAGGGGAAAAGAAGGATCCTCCCAACAGCAGCCTTCCCCAGGAGGAGATTATAAAAATCCTCCCCAAAGTTCAATCAGGCACCGAGTGGCAGACAGTTTCGAAGTGGTTTCATGTCAATGCTGATTCTCCCTTGAAGCAGTTCTGTAGATATGGCAAGTTGGCTGTCTCTCAAGATGATAAACCTTCATGAGCAGCTTCTTGAAGACTTTTTCCTTGCCTGTTCCACTGGGCCAGTTTCACAGCAAAGAAGCCAGGCTTACTTAACAGATTATTTTTGAGAAATGAGTGTCGAGTGTGGGCCAAGAATGAAAATGAGAGAAACTACTTATAACCCAGGCTACTACTAGATTTAGGAGAGATGGTGCGTATTTTGAGAAAACATATGCTGGCACTATACTCACTTCATACCACCCGCTGGCTAGCGATCACTTTCCTACAAAGTGCTGGGGGTTCTTTAAGTAAATTGTTTCCAAGCGAGTGAAAAACCTCTGCAAAGGTGCTGGGAGGGGGCCCCACGAGCAGCTAGGGCTGCCAGGTGTCCCGCTCTGCCCTCAAACCCTTTCCTCCTCCTCTACTTGGCGTGTGGCTAATGCTGTCCTTAGAGCATGTGCTGTGGCAGCTTCTGTAGCGCCTCAATGCATCCTCTTCCAACAGTCCCACCCAACTACCAAGTACAGCTCTCTAACTCACCTGCCAAGACACCCCAATTACCAATGTGACCAAGATCTCCAAGCAGATCAACACTATTACTTACCGTCAAGCCGCTTACTGATCTGCTCTTTCACAAGTCTATTGGGCCAGCATTTCCTCAGTGTTTCCACAACGGAAGTTCTTTCATTTTTCTCTCTATTCTCCCCACTGTTGGCTCCAGGATCCTCCAGCTGTTCTGTAATACTTGCAGGGTGTCCTGAAGATGCTCGCCCCTCTGGCACTGGCTTCTCTGCCTTGCAGCCCCTCCTTGATGTGGCCCCATCCTCCGTATCCCCAGGCCTCCCCTCAGTTGCCCACGAGTCTGGTGGGGAAGTTCTGCCGGGGGAACTGGAGTCTTCAGAAATATTAAGAGGCGTGGGGGGCAGTCCTACCCAGTGAGCTCCAAACTCTCTCTGGGCTCGTGGCGGCTTTTCTGTGATCTCTGAAAGCTTTGTCGGGTTGCAGCAGAGCCGGCTGTATTCCCCACCCAGCCGCTGGCAGAGCTCGTTAATGATGACGTCACAGTCCCCCAGAAGCTCCACGTCAAAGTGCAGGTGAGGCAGGGGTTCCCTGTTAATCAGGATCTGAGGCACTTCATGGGGTATGGAACCTGGAAACAGAAAAAAGCGTTCATGAAGAAACTGGGCAACCAAAGAGCCACAGCCCAGGCCTAACGAGGCCGTGCGGACCCCTTCCTAGGGAGAGCCGGTCAACAAGAGAAGACACGGCCCAGCTGAGTGCTGAGTAATCTGGGCCTTGGTGGATAGCTTCGAAGCCTTCTAGAAAGCGTTACTCTGTGGAGAGGCCCACGCTTCACTTAAGTGACGGGCACAAAAATAACTTGAAAAGCTTGTAGTAACTGAAATAGAGGCCCTACTTCCCCCCCCCCCCAAAAAACAAAACCCAAAAAACAAAACACACATGGCCTCAAATGTATTCTTAAGAAAATCACAACAAAAAGGATGGAGAGCAATGATGAGAAATAGGAATAAAATGTGTACTAGAATGGGAGGAAATGTAAAACACTCTAACAACCATGATGTGCCTTCTATACGTAAAGCGCTGACTGAGCTTATGAAGACCAAGGCCCACACAAACCAAACAGTTCCTGCCTTTGAGGAGTTTCCATTCTACTGGAGCAATAAAACATTTACAGTTAACCAAGTAGAGATTCTTTTTAAAAATTTGACTTAATCAATGTGAACAGTCATTTGACCCATGCAGACCGCATCCCCTCCACACTTCAGCAGAGTTCAGTGATTTAATGTGACTTAGAACTAGCACTTCCATCATGTATATGAAGTACACCCTCGTGTTTATTTTTCCTTTCAAAGAGATTATTTTGGGTATACAGCTTATATTTGTCAACTACATACATGTAACTTATAACTGTATCCCAAACACATACTGAAGTGAATTAGACATAAACAGCCCAGTTAATAATGTGCTTTCATAGTAATTCCTACCTTTAGGACCAACTATATTTAAAGGCACAGACTTTTCAAGCTTCTCATGATAGTGAAATAAAATAAATTTGGATCACAGCAGAAAAAGTGCAGCGATGATAAAACTTAAACAAGCCTCCCTCCCCATCACGGACATGAGGTTTACCCATGTTCACCTTCTTTTTCTGTAAGGAGTAAGTAGTCATTTTGAACCTGGCGTTCTGACCTAAATTTTTCACAACAATACATATCAATTTGAATTTATCAAACCCTGAAATAAGTCAAGTTAAGTTTTGTGAGTTCTCTTAAACTTAACTTTTGAAATCTGAAAAAGTAGCTACAGTGAAATATTCATTCATCACTTGACAAAGAACACTAATAAGCTTACATTTATAAGTTACTTTAAGGTGCTTATTTCATGAGAATCCAGTGAGGAAAGGTACTTTGTAAACATTCAGAGTGCTGTGTAAATGGGAATGATGACCATGTCTTGTCCATGGTAACACAGGGACTGGTAGAGCAGGGATCTGAACTCGGATTCATTAACAATACTGATAAAAAGGTCCACTGCTTCCTCAGGGTGTGTATCCAGGATATATGACGTCACCCTGCCAAGATGAAAGCGGGGTGCACTGTCTAGGGAACGGTTAGCCAAACTGTGGTATGGAATGTAATGGCTTATTATTGCACTGTGAGAAATGAAGATCAAGAAATCAAGGAAACTAAGATTTTGAACAATTTATGCAATGACTACAAAAATATAAAGGAAGACAACAGTGAAAGCCTTCAGAATTCTGATAACACAGTAACCAGAGAGATAAGGTATGGAGGTGGTGGATTAAAGGTGCAGTGTCAAATTTATGTTTTTAGACATATCCAAAGTGACCGTTTTCTTAGGTACAAGGAGGATGACTGTCACTGAGAACTGACCAATGTTTTAAAAGGGTGTGTGTGTGTGTGTAACGTCAATAAGATCAAAAAGGAGAAAGATTAAAATGAAAATGTTTTTAAAACCTCCAAAGACTTATCAAACTTGAAGGGAAGCACACAGTTCTGTTGATTCACCTGGACACTAATGATTCTGCCAGAAGGACTCAGGAAAGTACCGGGCAAGAAAATCAAGACCTGGGAGGGAGGGGACGTGGCAGGTGGCCGGCAAGGTTTAGATCACTGCTGCCAAATGAAGACAAGAGCTTCAGAAGAGCAAAAGCAAAGGTCTATCTACCAAAGTAAGCAGAGGTTTAAGAGGAGGGATGATATCTGAGACTCAGAGCTAGGTTTCTGGATCACAGATCAAAACATGGGTGGAATGGGCTCTCTTGCTCAGAGATGGAGTGCATCTATTTGGGGGCTAGTGAACACTTTTGGCCTCCAGACTTGAAAGTCAAATCAAAAGGGCTCTGGACAGAAAAAGTGACCCATGGGAAGTGGGATGGGAGAGGGGTGAAAGGGTAATGCTGTAGAGCTTAGAGACAGAAAATATAGAGAATAACTAAAACAAAAGAAAATGATAGAACACCAAAAAATTCACATCACAAAAATCCAAGAAAGGAACCGATTGCATCCCACAGCAAACTAGATCCTCACATAAAGTGAAATTTGACCTCTCAGATATGAATGACTTTATGGGATGAGAACCATGACTGACCTCTGGCTCTTGAAGATGTTCTATTATTCTAAATGGACAGAATGATGAATGGGGGGGTTGGAGTATTAGACAGAGGGTTAGAGGAGAGGCACAGTGGACTAAGAGAATGCACCAAGTAGCGGAAACCCAGGAATCAGGTGAGCACGGAGAGCATATGGATAAAAATCGCTGGAGGCAGAAAAGGAATCTACAGTCTCAGATTCTCCTACAGGCCACCTGGACAAAAGGAAGACATCAGCGAGTTATGGAAACAGCTAATGCAAACACAGATTCAGTACTGACAGTGATAAGGGAATTTCAGTTACCTACACATCTGCTGAGAGAGCTCTGTCTACCAACATCACAGCAGCTAATAATTTCTAGGATTACTTTTATGACTATTTCATCCTTCAAAAAGTGAAGTTCAGACCAGAAAGGATGGAAAAAAAATAGGTACTTTCTTATTATCTCCCTCCTTTTCTTGAGTTTCAACTAGCTTCCCTCGAGTTCAAGTCGTCAGGCCCACACAAACTGCATCCCATGGAACTACAAGAAGCTGCAGATGTGAGTGAGGAGTCAGTCATCTCTAAATACCGTCTTGAATTTCCAAAAATCTCCACAGCAGTGAGCTTGACTGTGATTCCTGGCAAAGTGAGTGAGCAGAGAGAAAGGGACAGATCTGAGCAATATGGTCTGGGTGAGAATGAGACCGGACAACTGAGATGTGCAGAGAGGCAAAAGAAGCAGTTAAAGACAATAACAAGATTAGGAACCACAGTAGTGTCCTTAAAAGTAACAGGGAATTTATGGAGAGAATGATGATGAGATCTGTGATAAAGATAACATTATAACCCACGAGTGTTTCATCATTCATGGGTAACTGTACCCCCCAAAACAAAAGGGGAGGCGAGGAACCAGAGGTAGCCACAAGATGATGAGGTGGGGGGGGGTCAACAATTCGAATAGTGGTCAGGGTGTAACTGCCGTGGGGGAAGCTGGGAGCTTGCAAAATGGAGGGAAGCAGAAGACAGGGAGGGGGCTAAGAATTAAAAACAGGTGTGGCTGTGTTGAGGAAGAGCCCCATGATTGGCTATGATGGGAAGTGTGGGATATGACCCACTGATTGAACAGTTGTGGGGGAAGGGGAAAGGAGGAGAGAAGGTGTGAAGACCAGGCGCCCACTTTGGAAACGACTGGCTACCACATGGACAGTTTTACCGAGATTTTGATAAAACATGGGACAAATTCTCTCACGCTATTCTAGGATAGTTAAGTAACACCTAAATAGCTGAAATAACCTTAAAACATAATTACCCCCTAAACACAAAAAGCATAAAAAGTAATTTGATGGCTAGTATTTATATATCAATTTAAAGTCTGCAAAAGCACTTTACAAATATTATCTTATTTGATCCTCACAATAATCCTGGGAATTCAGTGCTTTTATTATCCCCATTTTACAGATGGTGAAAATGAGGTAGAAGTAAAGTGATTTGCCTAGGGTCACAGAAGTGTCTGAGGCTGGATTTGTACTCGTTATCCTAAGCCCTCCAAATACAAGGATCACAAAACCACATAAATATTAACACATTATAACATAATCCCCTTCAGGCAGAAGCAGAAAACTTATTTACTATTATTCCCTCAGGAATCATGCCATGGCACTGCTATACCAGGATCCAACTGCCACTGGCAATAATTCCCACGGATATGAATGGGGGGGGGGCACCACTTTACACCAAATTCCACACAATGAATCATTTTCTAACAATAATCCGATTCTCATTATCTGTATGATCTCATGCACATCCTAGTACTCTCTCAGAAACCATCACCAACTTACTCGGAATCAGCGCTACTGGTCTTACTTTCAGGGATGACCCAATTACAATGAGGAGATCAACTTCATCTTTGTCATATTTCATGGCTCTATGAAACTGCTCTGGTAAGTTTTCCCCGAAGAATACAATCTCTGGCTTCATGATGGCAAGTGGTTCATCAGCTGGGCACCTGGGACATCGAGGAACCACCTACAAGCAGACCACGTGGGAAAAAACAAACACACACATTCCCCAAAGTCAATCAAATTTGACATTTCCAACCTTAAGCTCAAGAACAATTTTTCTGAAACTACAGACAGTTATGGAAGCCACATAATTTTGCTCAAACCTAGTATCAATGGGCATTTAAAATACATTGTTACCTGATATTCTGAAAACAATGAACTAGACTGAACTAGGAACAGTTAGTTCTTTTGGAAATAACGTATAATATTATAATGACATAGTGATGATGACATTTATCAGAACGTGTTACTTGGGATAGGCTATCTTCATTCAAAATCTTTCTTCATTCAAAAGCTTTTGTTGCTAAAGCATCATTTAGGTTGTTAATACAAATACCACTTTATATTCTTTTTTTTTCCTCCTTCAATTTTTGGTGTTAACAGCGCAGAGCCAATTCCATTACTTCAAAAAGGAGACAAGCATAGAACACATTTACAACTTCCACTTGATGGCTGCTGTCCCCTACAGGGGCCCATGTCACCTGGCCAACTCAGAGGGCCTAGCACTAGTCCCCAGGATTCTCCTACCATGCTCAGAGAACAGAAATCAGACCCCAGCCCACAAGCTACTTTACCTGATTAAAAATATCATCACGTACGGCTTCAGAATCCACTTTGTATTTACAAATCAAGCAAGAAGCTGTTGCAAAGGAACCTGAAAAGAGCCAGAGGTGTGTTAATGAAAGGATGCTTGAGTTTCTTCTATGTATAGGAGCACAAATTTTCTCATGCAATTCTAGAATAGTTAAATAACTAAAATAGCTGAAATGACCTTACAACATCATGACCCCCTAAACATAAAAAGCCTTTTTCAACATAAAAAAAGCACATGTGCACGCGCGCACACACTCTCTCCCAGACTTATGCAGGGCTCAGCAATATCTGTCTTCCTACAAGTGGATCTGGAGAATTAGGTTAAGGCTTCTTAAACTTTTTTCACTCACGACCCCTTCAGTGCTTCTTAAACTGTGGGTCGAGACCCCATATGGGGTCCTTTTATTAAGGGGATTTGTTCTGTGAAGTTTGGATTCAGTCAAGGGCTGCACTTGAGGACCTAGAGGGCCACATGTAGCCTCGAGGCTGCAGGTTCCCCACCCCTGATTCTAGCTCATTATTTCTTATATCACAATAGCATTCCAACACAGTCACACACCACAAATTGTTCAGACATTCCCCAACTGATGGGCATCCCCTCAATTTCCAATTCTTTGCCACCAGAAAAGAGCTGCTATAAGTATTTGGGCATAATTTCAAATTATTCTATATGATGGCTGAATCAGTTCACAACTTCACACAACTTCACCAATAGTGCATTAATGTCTCAATTTTCCTACATCCCCTCCAATATCTGTCATTTTCCTTTTCTGTCATATTAGCTAATCTAATAGGTGCGAGGTAGTACTTCAATATTGTTTTAATGTGCATTTCTCCAATCAATAGCAATTTAGAGTATTTTTTCAAATGACTATAGAGAGCTTTTATTACTTCATCTGAAAAATGACTTCATATATTTTGATCATTTGTCAGTTATGAAAAGGCTCTTATTTTTATAAATTTTGACTCATTTCTCTATAAATTTGAGAGATGAGGCCTTTATCAGAGAAACTTGCTTCAAAAATTTTCAGTTATGATTGCTATTTCCCTCCATTCTATTTCCCCCGTTCATTCTATTCCCTCTCCCTTTACCCTGTCTTTGCTTCTGACTCCTGCTTCCCTCAATCCACCCTCCCTTCAATGAGCACTTTCCTGCTTATTCCCTTTACCCTCCAACTTCCCTGCAGGGTAAAATAGCTTTCTATACCCAAACGAGTGTGTGTCTATCCCTCTTTGAGCCAATTCCATTGAGAGTAAGGGTCAAGCATTCCCTACCACCTCCCCCATATCTTCCCTTCCACTGTAATAGCTCTTTCTTGCCTGGTTTATGTGAGATAATTTACCCCATTCTACCTCTCCCTTTCACTGTCTCCCAGCACATTTCTCTTTCTCACCCCTTAATTTTATTTTTAAAGATATCATCCCATCATATTCAACTCACACCTGTGCCCTCTGTCTAGATATACTCCTTCTAATTCCCCAAAGAATGAGAAAATTCTTTTGAGTTACAAGTATCATTTTCCCATGTAGGAATGTAAACAGTTGAACTTTATTAAGTCCCTTGTGATTTCCCTTTCCTGTTTACCTTTTTATGCTTCCCTTTACCCTTGTATTTGGAAGTCAAATTTTCTATTCAGCTTTGGTCTTTTCATAAGGAATGCCTGAAAGTCCTCTATTTCATTGAATGTCCATTTTTTTCCCTCTGAAGGATTATACTCAGTTTTGCTAGGTAGGTGGTCCTTGATTGTAATCCTAATTCCTTTGCCCTCTGGAATATCATATTCCAAGCCCTCCAATCTTTTAATGCAGAAAAGTTGCTAAATCTTGTGTTATCCTGACTGTGGCTCCACAAAACTCGAATTGTTCTTTCTGGCTGCTTGCAATATTTTCTCCTTGACCTGGGAGTTCTGGAATTTGGCTATAATATTCCTGGGAGTTTTCATTTTGGGATCTCTTTCAGGAGGTGATCGGTGGATTCTTTCCATGTCTATTTTACCCTTTAGTTCTAAAACATCAGGATAGTCTTCCCTGATAATTTCTTGAAAGATGATTTCTAGGCTCTTTTCTTATGGCTTTCAGGAAGTAAAATAATTTTTAAATCAGCTTTCCTGGATCTGTTTTCCAGGTCAGTTGTTTTTCCAATGAAATATTTCACAGTGTCTTCTATTTTTTCATCCTTTTGGTTTTGTTTTATTGTTTCTTAATATCTCATTGAGTCATTAGCTTCCACTTGCTCAATTCTAATTTTTAAGGAATTATCTTCTTCACTGAGGTTTTGTACCTCCTTTTCCATTTGGCCATTTTTTAATGAGTTCTTTTCTTCAGTGAATTTTTGTATATCCTTTTCCATTTGGCTAATTCTGCTTTTTTTAAGGATTCTTCTCTTCAGTGGATTTTTATGCCTCTTTTACCATGTGTCCTATTTTGTTTTTTAAGGTATTATTTTCTTCAGCACTTTTTTTTGCCTCCTTTACCAAGCTGTCGACTCTTTTTTTCATGATTTTCTTGCATCACTCTCATTTCTCTACCCAATTTTTCCTCTACCTCTCTTACTTGATTTTAAAAATCCATTTTGAACTCTTCTAAGCCCTGAATTGTCCAATTCATATTTTTCTTGGAGGCTTTGGATATAGGAATTTTGATTTTGCTGTCTCCAGAGTGCTTTGATCTTCCCTGTCACCAGAGTAACTTTCTATGGTCAGATTTTTTTTTTCTGTTGTTTGCTCATTTTTCCAGCCTATTTCTTGACTTTTACCTCTTTGCTAAAGTGGGGCTCTGCTTCCACAGTGGAAGACGTACTGTCCCAAGCTTCAGGGGTTTTGTGTGGCTGTTTTCAGAGATAGTTCTAGGGATCTGCAAGTTTTCAGCTTTTCCAAAATGGTATGATCTAAGGAGAGATGTGCTGACTACTCTCCTGGCCTGTGCTCTGGTCTGTGACCAAAAGCACTCTGTTCTGCCCTGGAACCGTGGTAAGGGTCCCTGCTCCACTGCAGCCACAAGCTCTGATGTGCTAATGCTCCTCCTTGCTCTGTGACTGCAACCTGGACCTGAGGATAGGCAAAGCCACAGAGTCCTACCCCCAAGTGCCAGCAAAGAGATCCCTATAATCTCCTTCGGGCAGTTGTTCAACACGCCCCCAGCCCTTACCATCTGTGGATATAACCGACGCAGCCTGCACTGGACTGCACTCCACTCTCACCCTGGTGTGACAGACCTTTCCCGCCAAACTTTTAAGTTGCCTTGGGCTGGAAAATTGTTTCACCCTGTCCTTTTGAGGGTTCTGCCACTTTCCAGGAACTCAGGTGAATCCCTGCCTTCTCTCTGCCACCTTGACCCAAAATGTTTTTTTTTTCTTTTTTGGCTGGGCAATGGGGTTAAGTGACTTGCCCAGGGTCACACAGCTAGTTAAGTGTCTAGTGTCTGATGCCATATTTGAACTCAGGTCCTCCTGACTCCAGGGCCAGTGCTCTATTCACTGCGCCACCTAGCTGCCTCCAAAGTGATTTTTTTTGAAAGAAATCTGACCATTCAGTCTCCTACTCAATCAACTCCAGTGGTTCCTTATTGCTGCTTGAATCAAATGTAACCTCCTCTGTTGAGTTTCCAAAGCCCTTCCTGGTGCGGGGCCCCACCTCCTTTCCAGCTCACTGTCATCCCTCCACCTGCTATCTCTGTGTCTTTGTATGGCCATCCCCTACACCTGGCCCGCCCTCTCTCCTTCCTTCCCTTTAGACTTGCTTTCTCTCTATGCTCTTTGTGTAAGTACTCACAGGTGCCCTTGTTATCTCCTGTTTTAGAACTGAAAGCTCCTTTCAGCACTTTATTTCATTCTTACATGAATCTCTACGTGCCTGGCACAGAGGAGGAATTTGGTAACTGCCTCGATTGATCTGGTGTTATCACCTCATTCCAATCATTACATCTCAGTTGCTGTCTTGATAACATAATCTTACAATTCTAATTTTGTTTCTTGCAAGTGAAAAAAATTCCCCCAAAGCAATTCTGAAGAGTTTACTAACCATGACACTGGATGATCCTCTGAATCCCCGCAACTTGTTCCAGTGTGTCTATGTTCTGAGTGTAGTTTCGAAGTAGTTTTCCTTCCTTATCTGACAAGGCTATAAATTTATGGCAGAGAGATGGCTGGAATTGCCCAGGATAAATTTCCTGTAGAATGTAAAAGAATATCTAATTTGTACTTTAAAAAAATTAACTTTTATTATCTTTTGTTTTTACATCATCTGTATTTCTCAAAGTATCCCTTCCCCCACTCCCTCCCAGAAATCTCAAAGAGAAAAAAAAACCAAAAACCTACAGTTCAGTAAAACTAACCAACATATTAAAAAGTCTGAAATTATCTGTAAAGTTCCATCCCCACAGTCTCCCACTGCCTTCTCCGCAAAGAAGGAAGAGAGATGCCTTCCCATCTTTTCTTTAGCGGCAAGCTTGGTCATTACAGTTTCATAGCATTAAGTTTCCATTGTTTTGGGGCTGTTCTTTCCACTTATACTGTTGTTATTTTAAAATGTGCATTAAAGACTTGTGGAATACCCCGTATTGTCTTCCTGCCTCTGCTTCCTTCACTTTCAATCAGTTCACGGAACTCTTTCTTCTTGAGACTCATCACAGTCACTGTTTCTTCCAGCATAGTATTAGCCAATACATTCATGTGCCACAACTTGTTTAGCCATTCCCCAATCTATGGACATCTACTTTTGTTTCCAATTCTTTGCTATTAATATTATTCTGGTAGAAGGGGGGCATTTTTTTTTTGTCTTTAACCTCTCAGGCTATATTACTAGAAGGAGACTTTTCTGGGCCAAAAAGGTATAAGCACTTTAGTCATTTTCTTAGAAAGTCTCCAAACTATTTTCCAGAATGGCTGGACCACTTCACACCTCCAACAGTCTTACTGACCTATCCATCTTTCTACCACTCCCCTCCCATCTTTTGTCATCTACCAGCTGGGTGGTCTAGAGTGAATTCTGTTTGGCGTTAACCTTATTATTAGTGATTTGGGAAGTAAGTAATTGGTGATTCTTTCTGACAACTATTTCTTCACATTCTTTGATATTATTCATATCCTTCAGGAGAATGGTTTGGTCTGGATGTCCGACCCTTAAATTAGTTCTGACAGATGTTAAATGCTTAAGTTGAACAGATAAAATCTTCTGGATCTACTAAAACAACCAGAACAATTAATTCTCCCAGATGTAGTGTCTGAAAATGTTTTTAATTTTAAAAAATTTTATTTGTTTTTAGTTTTTGAAAAATTAAACACAGAAACTAAAAGGTGCTTTCTTCTAGGGGCTGAGTCTGTCCACAAAATTCCCAGAGAAAGTGTTTAAAATTTCAGATCACCTAGGCACCTGAAATAAGAACTAATTTATGCCATTTGAGATTCTTTTAGCCACCTGAATCTAGCTTTTTCTTAGGAAAAGGGAGCAAGTAGATAAAAAAGAGAATTTCAGGTTTCAAAGCTATAGTGGCAAAGTGTCATTATACTATCTGAAAAGGACACTGGCAAGGTAGAAAAACATTTAAAAAGCAGGTTTTCCTTTGCCATTTTATAATAACCAGTAGCTGTAAGAAGTCTAAAACTAAGGTTTAAATTCTTTATCAGAAGTTCCCTTCCCTGGCAAGGACACACTCAGAATATCCAATTGCTATGAATGCTGGGCTGCTATACTGTGCATCTTTTATTAGCAAACAAATGTTTCTCCTCTAAAAACAAAAAATTAAGATATACCCCTGGCAAAGTGTTTGTATGACTGTTTGGTCTGGACTTGTGATTTCATTTGTGCAGAGAACTCCAGAGCAAACTCCCTCCATAAACACAGCCTGACAACTTATCAGTAACTTAATCTTAGAGTTGCCTGGGGTCATTAGAGGTTAAAGGACTTGCCCAGGGTCACACAACCAGCACATGCCTCAGGCTGGACATCAGCCCGAGTATTCTAGACTCTATGGCCTGTCTCTATCTACTACATCTAATTAGCAATGAGAACAAAGGGAAAAATATCAGCCTAGTTTCCTTCCAACTTGGGACAAATAGTTTAAAAATCAGATCTCTTTTTAGAAGACATAGCTGTCAAAATACATTTTCTTCATTAAATTTTTAAGTACGTTTCAGTTCAATCGTTTTTTTCAGTTGTGTCCAACTCTTCATGACTCCATTTGGAGTTTTCTTGGCAAAGATAATGGAATGGTTTGCCATTTCCTTCTCCAGCTCATTTTATAGATGAGGAAACTGAGGCAATCTGAGTTAAATGACTCACTCAGGGTCACACTTGCTCAATAAGTGTCTGAGGCCAGATTTGAACTCATGAAGATAAGTCTTCCTGACTCCAGGCCTGGTATTCTATCCACTGCACCACCTAGCTGCACTTATGGGATTTACTAATTAATTATTTCTTTAGCTTCTATGGATCAAATCCCATTACTTTGAAGCCTTGCATTGTCAGTCAGTAAGCACTTACTATGTGCCAAGCACATCAACAGAAGCCTATTTCCTCCCTGAATGTCCACCACATCTATAACAATCCTTCAATGGAGACAAGTCCTCTCATTCTCTGTGCCTCATAGACCCAGGATGGAAGGCATTCTCCTGGCTCCTGCTCTCACTTCCAGACTTTTCTTCTACTTCCCCATCTCAACCATGTTGTCAAGTCCATGCATGTGCACTACTTATAAGATCCTCACTGTCACTCAACCAGCTTCTAAACTATCAACCTAATTTTCCCAAAGACTTCAGTGCACAGTTCATTCTTTTCCTCTCCATCTCATCAATCTCAGGAATTTCAATACAGTGATCCCTCTTGCAAACCATCTCAACTTTCACCTCTCTCCCAATTCAGTCACACAATGGCCATGCCATCTCAGACTTCTGCATCTCATCCATCAGACGATCCTGGCTTTAGAGTTGGAAGAGACCACAGAGGCCATCTAGTTCAACCCCCTCATTTCAGAGCTGGGGAATGTGAGGTCTAGAGAGATTTGGCAATTTACTCATAATCACACACATGGCAAGTAGTAGGCCTGGGATTTGAACCCAGATCTTGACTCCAATCCTGCTGCCCTCATATACCACCCATGACCTCAAAGATCTAAAACTCTGCAATCTACCCTCTGAGCTCTACATCTGATAATTACACCAAATGACTGACTCACATTAAGCTTGCCCTTCATATTTATCCTGACCCATCTCTTCTAACGGCCCCTGATGGCCATGTAAACCCAAGAGCCCTGGTTAGAAGCAGCATCTCCCACCCCGCATCTCTGGTCCTGCTTCTACCCAAGCCGCTCACAGCAAAGTCCCTGAAGATGTGTTCTATCAACTGCTTTGGCAGGTGTTTTAGCCCTACCTCCTCAGCTGCCAGAGCTTGTGAAGACCAGGAAAAGAAGGTTCTCACCATCAAATGCCATCCCTGGCACTGTCAAATGTTTCAGCATCAGAAATGGGCATAATGACAAAATGACATTAAAGATGACGCACTGTCACCTGCTTTGCTTCTGTGCCCTAAAGACCATAGGACCTTTCCATTTGACTTGTAGTTACTGTCTGTGCCATTGGAATAAAACCTCCCTGAGAGCAGGAATCATCTTGCTTTTTTGTTATCTCCAGAGCTTAGAACAATGTGATACAAATGTACTTATTAAATGCCTTTTCATTCATTTGCCTGCTCCACATCCGTTATACTGGGTTCACTTGTCTTCACTCTTCCAGGGTGTCCCTCCTATGGGCCATGGCTGCAGGGCCCTACACTCTCTTCTCTCCACTAATCACTTCTTCCTCTGGATATAATCACCACGCCAACGTTACCATTGCTATAAACACCAGGTCAATCATTCTCCATTCTCATGACTTCCTAGACTAAAACACCCCTCCCTGACCACCACTCCCTTATAGGATGTCTTCCTCTACTAGAAGAGCAGTTCTTTCAGGACAAGGAATCTTTTTTTTCTCCCTATGTGTACCCTCAACTTCTAGCATGGTACTGACCCATAATAAATGCTTTTTTATTCACTCATTCCCATTTGTGAAATAACATGGATTTTGTCACTCAGCTGTTTTACTAGCACTGAAAAGAGAATCCATCGTCTCCCTGAGCTTTCATGACTCCCAAACTGTAAATCCTCATCCTCTCCCTCCCTCCCTGGATTCCTATGTTCTTAGTCTAGGGCTTGCTGAACACTACTGGAATAGGTAACAAAATAAAGCTGATTTCATCAACTACAAATGTGTGGTTCAAACTTTTAGGCCTCTGCTGTCTGATAATCTTTCTTATTACCTCCCTCTCTCAGTCCCCCTATTTCAAAGCTTTTTTTTTTCCTCCCACCCCAAACTCCAGGACTGCCCTACATGCTTGTAGTGGGTGACCTCAACTTCTACTTCATGGCCATTCAATGAGTGACCTATGCTCCCCAAGTCCTTGTTTTTGAGCATCATCAACCACTCTCTTTTCACATGGTCACAGATCTATCTTAACACTCTTCACTAGGAAAAGGAATAAGCATTTACACAACACCTACTACATGCCAGGCTCTAGTCTTAACACTTCACAAAAACTCTCATTTGACCTTCACAAAAATCCCAGGAGCTAGGTGCTGTTATCCCCATTTTACAGTTGAGAAAACTGAAGCATAACAGAGTTAAATGACTTGGCCAGGGTCATACTGCCATCAAGTATGTGAGGTCAAATTTGAACTTGGGTCTTCCTGACTCCAGGTTCAACACAATCCACTCAGCCACTGAGCTACTTAACTAAAGCTAATCCATGCCCTAGATCACAAGGCAGGATCTTGCTCCTGGAGTTAAAGCACTTTCAGATCTTCTCATCTTTAAAAATACCAAGATTCCTTCATCTGACCTGTATTTATAAAAACATAATTCTCAAATTATATACCAAATTAAATACCAAAATTTTGGCCTGAAATCGGGCTTATTTCACCGATGTCCATTTGCTATCTAAAGAATGGCCAGTTCTCAGGGGAGGAAGTAGGCAAAAGTACAAGGAAGCTTTCCTCAAGCAAAATCCAAATCAAAACAAAACACCTCTATCACAAGGGAAAAAAAATGTACCTATTTTTTTCTAAAGCAGAAGAGAAAAGGTCTTCCCTCTATGTGGATGACTGATTTCATCTATTCCCAGCACACCCTGCTTCTT